CCTATTTGGAACCAGTCTGTTGTTCCATGTCCAGTTCTAACTGTTGCTTCCTGACCTGCATACAGGTTTCTCAAGAGGCAGGTCAGGTGGTCTGGTATTCCCATCTCTTTCAGAATTTTCCACAGTTTAGTGTGAATATAACAAGTGCTATTAAGATGCATAGGTGAAAAAAAATGCATAGGCAAAATACAATGAAAGAAAAATAATAAAAATAAAAGCCACTAAATGGACTTAGGAAATTTAGAAGCATCTTCCTGGGTATAAGGGGAAGGGTACGAGGGAGGAATTCTAGCTGAGTACCAGCCCAAGTGGATAAACTGTATCAAGTGTTTCTCTGGTCCAAATCTATACTAGCTTCACTTTGCTTCTACTTAGTCAGAGCCTTTCTATTTAGGTCTCTGTATCTGGGTCTCTCAGCTCCCTAGTGTCACTACTTTAGAACTGAAAAGAGGACATTAACTTCAGTAAAAACACTTCACCAAAAAGTGTCTTGGATTGATTTATTAATTTTGAAGAATAATTATCCTACTGAATAAGCCATGCCAAACCTAATGTCCATAAAACTGTTAGCACTCAAAGGTATTTTTCTGTAAATATATTCATGAATTTTTCTAATGATGTGACTGGGATTAGAACAGTGCAAATTTCAACAAAGATATACCGCTTTAGAATGTAGTATCAGTTTAAAAAATACAGTTAACTGACATAGTTAGGAAAGGAGTTTGAAGGTGTGTAAAAATGCAAAGTTGTTTGTAAAAAATTAAAAGACATAGTAAACTAATAATCAAAAATATTTCTTGAATTCATGATGTAACCTACTCATTCATGTATGCATGAGGGAGAATTTTATAATTTTAAAGTCAGATATTCAAACTTTTCCTCATAGCATGGATAGATTAGGAGATGTTATAGACAAAGTTTTTTGTAAGCAGAAGTGCGTGTTCGCTGTGCATCCAGTCATCCAGAGGAGACAGTTGGCCAAAGGGCATGCCAGACTGGTCAAGTTTGGAAGGTGCATCGATCATGAAGAGGTATTTCTTAACTGAGAAATATCTTGCTACTCTGTCAGGTGCTCTGTCATGGAGCATATCTCATTATAGCCATTTGAGCTATTTGTTACACAGCCATGTCTCTGACAATACCCTGATGAATCTGATGTTCTAGGCATAAAAAATGCTCATATAAAAGCAAGTGCAGTGCCATTTGCAAACGTATTGCCAAACCATAGGAAGAGCTAAATATTGTGTGGGAGATCTTTTATGCAATTTTTTTATACTCATATGGAAAAATAAAATGAAGTCTGTCAGTTAAACATCTTATTTGTGCTTTAATATTGCAAATAGGATAGCATAATATATTTATGCAGTCTAAGTAAATGCTGGTATATATTTTTTAATCAAAAGATTTATAAAATTTGGGACAAGTAAAGTTTTTTTAAACTATAGTCTTTAAAAGATATTCTAAAATACTCCTACATTTTGAAGCTAAAA